GTTTTTTTTTTTTGGTAGAGGGCACATGCTCTCGCCAGACAGACAGAGATAGACAGAGAGACATAAAGCGAGAAATCACCCCTCGGGGGGATGGCCATGCCACAATCCCTTCTCCTCCATTCTCTTCTCAGGATCTTGGACATGCATGCACACGCACCTGGTGTGAGTTTAAGCCACCGGGTCCAGGACTCGAACCACGGTCGACTACATGGGAGTCCAACAACAGCCATTACGCCAACTGCTGGTCCCATAGGTGTTTTTTCTATTCACTTTTATTTTTTTTCTTTTTTGGTCTTCATAAAGCCAGGCCATCAGGCCCTCTCTGAGCTTTTCCAGAAAGGTAAGTGATTTGAGAAAAGAGGCTCTTCCTTTTCTGAGGGCTTAGAAGGTGGGGAGAAAGTAACCAGCAAAGGGGTTAAGGCTGGGTCTTGGCCAATGTGATTTGTATCATGTGAATAAAAGCTGTTTCCAATTTTTCTTCCCCAGGCCTGAGCCAGTCTTGTGGAGGAGCTGCAGTGGACTTTGGACGACTAGAACCCTAGACTACACAGGGGTCTGGGGAGCCAGTGGCTGGGAGGCTCAGCCCGTCAGGAGAAGCCCCTGGGGCTGCCCTCCAATCTTGGAGGGGTGCACACTGAGGTAAGAAAATGCAGCCACCAATTCTTGGACCACCCTAAAACTTCAGAAACTTCAAGCTCCCAGAGGAATTTCCAAATCCCAGAACCTCCCTATCATCAACTCCTAGAATTTAAAACCTGAAACCACTGGGGTCAGGGAAACCTGAGAGTTTCAAAACCCAGTACCAAGGAAGGCAGGGCCCACTCCCCACTTGCTATCCCTGTGATCTTGAACAAGTTTCTCGACCCATTTTCCCCATCTATGTAACAACAATATGATAATGATGAGATGGGCCACGAGGAACATAATCATTTTTGAGACATATGCAATGCTGTGTCTTGCACATGGAATGTGGTGGATATTTGGAATCCTAAATCCTTTGAAACTAGGGATTTTCAAGGTAGAAAATCTCAAAGACTGAGGGCCTCAGAAGAATTGGGCCATGTTGTTCCTGATACAACAGAGTCAGGGTCCCAAAGTGCCTCTGGGCTTTTTCATGAGGATTAATATGTTAATCCTGGAGGCCTGCTTGGAACCTTCCCCAGAGGGTGGTCACTGGATCAGAGCAATCAAGCCCAAAAGCATGATAAGGCAAGACTTTTCTCCCGTTCCTCACTCAGTGACTCTCAGTAAGTCTTAGACTCAATTCTGTGAATTGTGGGGCCTGGGAGTAAATGCCCCACTTTTTTTTTTCTGTAAAGTACCTTATGTGCCCCTCATGCTATAATGGTAAGTGGAGTTCAAGGGTATCCAGAATCCCCCACCTCCCCGGGCAGTATAAGCAGTCACGAACATATATATTTCACGCAGGGGGAAACTTAGGCCTGGATCAGGGCAAATCCAGCTGTATTTTGTCTTTTTCCCTGGTGTTTCTCTTTGTCACATAGGGCTTTAGATTCTTTTTCTTTATTTCCCCAAAGATTCTCAAATATCCTTTCACTCACAGAATGGTGTGTCTGCCTGCCCCAGGATGCCCTGTGATTTATTTGCATTCTTTTCCCTTGTTTCTTTTTTTTTCTAACTACACACTTTTGTTTAAAAAACTGTGGTTTCTCATGAGCCCTGTTATCTCATTAATACCTCTCACCTCTGTGGTGAGGGGAAGAAATCATATTTTCAGATGACTGGTAAAGGGCAAAGAAAAAACCCAAAATTTCAAAATTTCCGTTTAAGTCTCATAATCAAGAAGAGGAGAAACACAGCAAGAGAGAGAGAGCAAAAACTATGAGAACCCCCCCACCCTGTGATTATCAGCGCACACACTCATCGAAAAAAAAAATTGGATTATTAGAAGAAAGGTCTGTGGCTTCTACGCCGTGGTTTTTCTTCTCGGTATAAAAGCAAAGTTGTTTTTGATATGTGACAGTTTCCCACAAGCCAGGCTGATCCTTTTCTGTCAGTCCACTTCACAAAGGTGAGTATCCGTGCTCTCACCCACCAGATGCGGGCCCAATGAAGGAGATGACAGGGAGGTAAGCATCAAGGGGTCAGGGCCCCTCCAGTACAGTTGTACATAGCCAGCTACTGTGGTCTTGGCCAGGTAAGATCTTTTTCAAAATAATGATAGTCATAATAAATGCTGGAATACTGATAGATAATGTACTTAATCAATGCTTGAGTAGGGGCAGAAATATATTGATTGGGTTGGTACGTAGATGGGTAGGATTGTTTAAATATGTCAACTACAAGCCTTTCTGGATTTCAGAGCTTTAGAATAACTTGAAATGCTGTTCAGATGTAACTGGAAATTTCAACTGTATCTCTCTCATCTCTTCTGTCTCACTACCTCCCACCCATCTCTGTCTCTCTACTTAGCCGTCTCTTCACTCGCCCTTTCTCTCACCATCTCTCTGTCAGTCTCCCTCACATTCAGACTCTTCATCCCTCCATCTTTCCTATGCTCTGTCTCCCCTACCTCTATCTCCTCTATCTTTTTTTTTTAATGTTTTATTTATTTCCTTCTTGAGAGTGAGGGACAGGGAGAGAGAAAGAGAGGCAGGGCCTGACACTATGATCCCCTCCCCCAAGCCTGACCTTCTCAGCCAGCCAGGGTCATGGGCATGTGTACCTAGCCTATCCAGGCCAGCTGAGTAACCAAACCCACAGTCTTCCACATGAATTCAGCATCCTTTGAGCAGTGCATTAATACTGCACCACAGAGCTGGCCCTCAATCTCCTTTATCTCCTTTCCTCTGTCTCTGTCCTGCTCTTCTGTCTCACCTTTCCCCACCTGCCTTTCTACCCAGCATCCAACACAGAGCCTGTACACAGCTGGTGCTTAATAAGAATGTTTTGAGCAACATCGCTGGGCACATTTACATCTCATGAGAATGAGCATCGATAGTTTTGCCACAGTAGCAGGAAGATTGTTTGCTGTTGGGTTAGTCCGAGCACTTGACTGAACTTGTGTGGTTTCACTGTGTGGTCTGACCTTAGGATTGTGTGCATGTAACCAGAGTCCATGTCTAGGAAGGGAGCAAGTCATTCAAGACTAGCGTGAGTTCATCTCCACAGGCTTAGTACAGTGCTTGGCACACAGCGCTAAGTGTTAACTATTAGTATTTTTTAACCAAATTAGAATCATGTGATACAAGGAGTCTTCCAAATATTTGTGGAAAAGTCATATTATGAAAAAACTGTGCATGGATTTAAAATGTTTTTGCACCAAAATAAACTCATATTTTCATTCTACTTTACCATAAACTTTCTGAAGTCTCCTCATATATTAGTTTTGTTCATGCTTTATTCAATTAATAGGTTTCTGGGAACTCACTAAAAGGTGTTTGAAGACATGATATTTTATGGCTGTCCAAACTATCCTCACATCAGAGTAAATTATGATTGAATTGACCAAGTGCTAATTTTTGACCATTCTGATTGTTTCTACTTTTCTCCACATACATACCCGATTGCTTCCTTGGATTCCCAATGTTGGGACAAGAAGGGAGTGCATCTTTAAGACTTCTGACTCTCTACAAATTATTCTTCCAAAAAGTTTCCTGTTTTATGTTCCTTCTACTCTACTTTCTATTATAACAGATAAGAAAACGTATTGCCACATCACTGAAATTTGCATTCTTTCATTATTTTTAAAAAGAATTATTTCATTTAATTTATTTTTAATTTTGACCAGAGAGGGACAAAGTGAGAGAAAGAGAGAAAGAGGGAAAGTGAGAAAGCAAGCTGCCAGGTCCGGGACTCAAACCATGGTCAGTCATGTGGGAGCCCAGAACTCTTAACCACCATGCCACCTGCCAGCCCCCCAATATTCTTTGATTATTTTTATTGTTTATTTGTCTCCATGCTTTTGCTTGCTAGCTATTTATTTATTTATTTATTTTTGGTCTGACCATGTCCTTAGTCTTGATAGTGTATTTGTCTTTTTTTCTTATTGATTTGCCACAGCTCTTCATTTGAAAAGGATATTAACCTTCCATCAGTCTTATATATATATCAAATATTTTCCTCAATTCATCATTTGCTTTTTCTGTTTATTTATGGTGCTTTTTTGTGATACTTATATTCTTTTTATACAGTCAAATAGGTTATTCTTGTCTTCTGTGGTTTCTGTCTCTGGTTTTGTGCTTAGAAAGCCCTTTCCCACTTGAAAATGAGATAAATCTTCATCTGCGTTGGCTTCTACTCTCTTTTATGGCTTCATTTTTTCCATTTACTGTAGAGGTTAAGAGTGTGGGTACTGGAGTCAGACTGTCTGGGACGAACCCAGCTTCGCCCCAAGCCATCTGTGTAATTTTTAGCCAAGCACTTAACCTCTCCATACCACCATTTCCTTGTGTGTACTGTGATTATAAAAATACCTACTTCAAAGGATCTTTGTGAAGATTAACTCTAATAGCCATAGTAAGTGGTTAGCACAGGGCCTGACACACAATAAACCCCAGCTCAACATTATATTAAAATCAATCTCTTTAATTGGTCTGGAATTTGTTTTAGGATATGTAATGATGATGACATTTCAAACTGAGCATGGAGGGGTTGGTGGGAAAATAGACCAATTATTCATTCAATAATTATATTTTTCCCCTAATTATCTCAGAAACATTTGTTAAACAATCCATCCTCTGCCATCCCCCAGTTTGAGATGCCACATTCATCACAAACTCGAGTCCTTCTATATACAGATCTGTGTCAGAGCTTTCTCTGGTCTGTTCTATTCCTCAGTATCTGTTCTTGTGCCAGGGCCACACTGTTTTGCTGATTGTTTCTTTGCAACATAATTCACAACATGCCATTGGCATCCCTCACACCCTGCCCTTCTTTATTCTTCATTATTTCAGGCAGCAACAGTTCCTCCTGCCAGAGACCAGCAACTTCTTACCTGGTCAATCTTCTCCCTCTGTTGACACATTCTCTATGTCCCTCTGCTTCTCTCTGTCTCTCACCAGATATGTCTGTTTCTGTCCCACATCATTTCTCTCTTGCCATCTCTATGTCTCTTGTTCTGTGTTTCTCTGTTTACCCAAGTCTGTCTGTCCCTCTCTGTTTCTATGTATCCCTGTCGCTCAGCCAATCCCCTAGACAGAGGGGCAGCTATCAACTTGAGTCCCTGCAGGCACCTAACGACTCACCCAGGCACAGGCCCCAAGCCATCTGTGTAATTTTTAGCCAAGCACTTAACCTCTCCATACCACCATTTCCTTGTGTGTACTGTGATTATAAAAATACCTACTTCAAAGGATCTTTGTGAAGATTAACTCTAATAGCCATAGTAAGTGGTTAGCACAGGGCCTGACACACAATAAACCCCAGCTCAACATTATATTAAAATCAATCTCTTTAATTGGTCTGGAATTTGTTTTAGGATATGTAATGATGATGACATTTCAAACTGAGCATGGAGGGGTTGGTGGGAAAATAGACCAATTATTCATTCAATAATTATATTTTTCCCCTAATTATCTCAGAAACATTTGTTAAACAATCCATCCTCTGCCATCCCCCAGTTTGAGATGCCACATTCATCACAAACTCGAGTCCTTCTATATACAGATCTGTGTCAGAGCTTTCTCTGGTCTGTTCTATTCCTCAGTATCTGTTCTTGTGCCAGGGCCACACTGTTTTGCTGATTGTTTCTTTGCAACATAATTCACAACATGCCATTGGCATCCCTCACACCCTGCCCTTCTTTATTCTTCATTATTTCAGGCAGCAACAGTTCCTCCTGCCAGAGACCAGCAACTTCTTACCTGGTCAATCTTCTCCCTCTGTTGACACATTCTCTATGTCCCTCTGCTTCTCTCTGTCTCTCACCAGATATGTCTGTTTCTGTCCCACATCATTTCTCTCTTGCCATCTCTATGTCTCTTGTTCTGTGTTTCTCTGTTTACCCAAGTCTGTCTGTCCCTCTCTGTTTCTATGTATCCCTGTCGCTCAGCCAATCCCCTAGACAGAGGGGCAGCTATCAACTTGAGTCCCTGCAGGCACCTAACGACTCACCCAGGCACAGAGCAGAAGAGCCTGGCCCTCATCTACACCTTACTTCCCCTCCCACTGTAGAAGGACAAACTGAGGCCCAGAGATATACGAAAGGACCTCTCAGTAGGCCTCATAGAGATCCAGTGGAAGAGTTGAAAGCCAAGCCCATATCTCAGGACACTCCATAGGACCCTGGCTCTGTCTCTCTCACACACTGTGAATGGAGGGTGGAAGTCCAAAATCAAGGTATTTATTGGCAGGGCTAGTTCCTTCCCAGGGCTGTGAGGGAGAATCTGTTCTTGATCTCTTGCCTTGCTTCTGGTGGTTTGTGTTCTGGCCATTTTGCCAATCCTTGGCTTGTAGAAACATCACCCTATCTATACGTTCATTCATTCACTCATTCACTCACTCACCCCCTCAACTCACCAACCTTCTCCCAGGGCCTTGTTCTGAGTCTCTATAGAGCTAGAATCCTCCCAGTTTTCACTGAAGAATGTTCTAACCATGGAAATAGCTTCACAAGAGCTAGGCTGGCTGGGGTCCTGGGCCCCATGGATCAGGAGGCCTCATTGGCCAGAGAATGGTGATGACAAATGGATTTCAATCAGTCTACATGTCCCCATAACTGGTACTAGTATCTGAGAACCTCTATCCCAGGCCCCTCCAGAGAGCTGGGTGGTAGGCTCTGTCTCTACTGGCAAAGGCCAGGATTTTTCCTTCCTCCTACTCCATTTAGCCCAGGCTGAAAGCATGCTAGCCGCCTCCTTTCCTCCCAATCTCTGATGGAATGGCAACAAGTTTGGGAACATTGTCCCAGAATAGACAGGGAGACCAGAGCCCTGTAGGTGTCCATTTACCAATCACTGACATCTTACTAAGCATTTCTTGTACATTCTCACTTTGGAAGATGGGGACTATTTCTGTCCTGATTCACATATGAGGCTGAGGAAAGTTAGTCTGTGGCAGAGTCTGACCCCCAGCTGGGGAAAGCAAAAGGAGCTCTTCTGATCCTCTGGTTTCCCAGAACTTGGGAAGGATACTTGCTGTGATTCCAGAACTGTGGGTAGGAGGACCTATGAAATTGTGAGCCTCCTGTCCTCTGGGTGGTTCCAGTGAGTTTGGATCCCAGGGGTATTGGCCTCCACGTACTGAGATGTCAGACCCATGGACTCCACACCCACAGAGCCTGAAATTTTGATATTTGGGGACCCTTTGAATCTAAGAAGTGGTGTTCTGGGCCAGCTGGTGGTGTGGTAAAGGCGGCTGGATCCCAGCTGACTGTGTAGTTTGTCTCAGACTTGGCAGCTTGAGAAACATGCCAGCATCTACACAAGTCTAAAACTCTGAAAGGAGGAAGAGAGAGAGAAGGGATTGCAGCATGATCATACCCCTTGAGGATGATTTCTCACTCTCTCTCTTTCTCTCCATCACTCTCCAGCAAGCGTGCACACCTTCGGGCAAAAAAAAAAAAAAAAAAAAAAATTTTTAAGTGGTGTTTTATGTTTCTGAGGTT